TCTTGCTGCATATATATACATATGCATTCCCTGGGCTTAGCATGTAGAATGGAGGGTTTTTTTAACTACTTAAGGAGGTTTCTTAACTACTTAAGCCAGTCCAAAAGTAAGTTTCCTTACCTCTTTGGCTTGCAATTCATGTATGAAGTTTGCAAAGCCAACCAACATCTGAATAGTTTAGAGGCATATACAGCTAATGTAGGATTCACACATTGCTCTCTTCTTTTTCAGTAGGGAAATCTGTTGATTTTTTTCACAAGTGATTTTCACAAGTTTCCTTTTTCTCAAGAAATATTTTAGTTATTTTGTCTCTTTCGTTGACATAAAATTTGTACATAAACCCAACATGTATAGCTAGAAACATGAACTGATGAGCGAGATGCTGGGAATGTTGTGAGATGGAGCGAGGGTAGAGCAGTTCTGAAGAAAGCAAGAAAAAGATGTAGCAGGAACAAGGAGCAGCAGAGGTGTATGGTCCTTGGGTACTGAAGACAAGCGATGTTGTATATGTTTCATAGTTGTTGGGGCTGGAAGGGACCTTCCGTATCATCGGGTCCAGCCCAACAAGTAGGCTGTGGGGCAGATTTGAGGCAGCCTGAGCATAAAGACCAGTGGTGGGTTAAGATTTATTGGGGTCCTAGGCAAAGAGAGAGATTTATTGGAGGCTCCCCACACCCCATTATAAACATGAATGTATGGAGTCTAGCAGGAGGAGGGGCCTCTTCCCCTCCTGGTCCTGCCGCTCCTGCTGCTGCCAAGGGCAGGGCAGGCCTCTGTGCACCATATGGGAGGCTGGGTGGATCCAGCTGAGCTGCAGGTGGGGTGGCACATGCCCACTTCTCTTCTCTGCTCCCTGCCCCCCTCCCTCCCACCACAGCAGGGCGAGGGCTGATGCAGGCCACTTGCTGCGGGCCTGCGGCCATCTGCTTTGTTACGCCTGCCTTGGGGGACCTGCTTCGGCCATGCACCCCCCGCCCACCTGGCAATGGGAGGCACAACTTGCCACTCCCACTGCTACTGGGTGGGCAGAGTGTGCACAGCTGGTGTGGGGCTTGCAAGAGAAAAGCAGCAGAGTGGAGAGCCCTGAGTCCACAGTGAGGAGCCTGCATCTGCCCTGCGCACAAGGTTATACAGGACTCTGAAGATTAGTTTACATGCAGAGGATAGTAATATCCACATGCTTGCAAGAGTCACAAAATTGGTCTGAGTTGCAGGTCAGACCAGATGTTTGTAATGGTGAACAGTGGGAGAAGTTTTGATTTTTATTAAAGAAGATGGGAGTCAGGATCACAAGCAAGTTATTTATGATGTTTCCTCCCAGTTAGAGAAAGGTTAGGGGTGTTGTTGGTTTCACTGAAAGAGAGGTATCTGAGCATTGGTGAAAGATACAAGACTGACTGTATGCAGGAATCCCTAAAGGGGTGTTTACACTATGCACACAGAGCTTCTGAGGGACTGGGAGTGTCACTTCTGAGCATCCTCTGCCCACCTGTTCCCACTTGGATGCCCCAGACTTGAAAATGGGCCAGTGAAGCTGCTTGTAAGGTGTTCTCCCAACCCCCACCTACTTTTGACCTTGTTGGAAACGGTGAACTCAAGACTAGTTTTAAGGTCTATAAATGGGCGAGAATATGAAAGTCTTGTTTTATATCAAGAAAGGTCTTGCTATATCATTCAGTGTTGGAACAAAAAAATCAACATTTTTCATGGAACGGAATTCCTTTTTTTCTGGCCAGACTTAGTGGTTACACATTTTGCTCTAAAGGCTTATATAAACCATGTCTACATAAGCAGGTTGGCGTGTCTTCTTTTTCATGGTGGTTATGTGTCAGGATATCTCAGAGTGCATTGCTTCAGGTTGCTGGAGTTCTTTATTTTGCTGTCTAGCCTTCATTACTACTGGTGCATTATGAACTAGATTCTGCTCTATTTCCCCATAATTTATTAATAAAAATATATAGTCAACACATCATTTTAGGACTCCTGTGTATATGCAAGTCAAGTATGTTTCTTGCACTAGGTAAGATCGTATTGGATACAAAAACATGGTTATATTTAACAATGGCAACATGGTCTAAACAGAGGAATATTGGTAAAAATGTAGTAAAAAGTTGAAACAAATAAAGGCCTGGCTGCAAAAAGTAGGTAAATAAAACATGGCCACCGCTAATAGAATTCTGTACTGCTGCTCAGACCAACAGGGAAAGGGATTTTACAGCAACAGTGGTATAGATTAGCTCTTCCGTCAAAATAGTTTATAATAAAAGGTAATATGATAGTAAGAAAAAACACCACTGTCAACATTATCAGAGAAAGTTATACTTGAAATTAATTAGAAGTAAACATAGCTCTTGCATTAGTAAGCTTTTAGGTACATTGTTTAAATCGCCATGGTTTGCTTTCTGATAAAAATAAAAGGTCCATTATAAAAGTATGTGTTTCTTTCAATCTCTTTCTCTACCCTGTTAAATGATATAAGGTAATATTTTTTAAGGGTGATGTAAGAAGAAAGTTTGGGTCTCTCTGATAATGTTTTTAATGGGCCACTGACCACTTAATTAAAGAGCCACAATTGGCCAATAATAGCTCTACCTGTGGCCTGAGTGGGGGAATTGTTTTGACCTCATTTCAGCATTCAGCGCTGTCTTGTGCTGATAATTAGATTTCCATAAAAGGATAAATTAATCTTTAAAGTAGTTTGAGTATATCATTTCTAATTTTTCTGTATTTTGTGTCCTAAATCTAATATTCTGTAAATTATATTTGGCGATAGTAAAGAGTTGTAGCTATAAGTATCTTATTTATCGCTTGTGGGGACAAATGGAGATAAGGAGTTTCCCACAAAAGGAAATGGTGCCACACATCTGAAAAAGTACTTTATGTGAAAGGTGAAAACGCAGGAGAAGCATTGTCCCTTCATTTGAAAGAAACTTTCATATATATCTGTTTCTCCCATTCTCTTTAAAAATGAAGGTTTTAGTTAAGCTCTGGATGTATTCAGACTCTCTGACCACCAGGAACCAGACCAATCGAACTATGGATGTGCCATTAGTTAGGATGACATATAGGCTTCCATTCTTGCCAGCTGTGATCAGTTTGAGGAAGGAATATATTCCTTACTCTTAACCTTCAGAATGTCTCTTGTGTTTTGATCTGCAATAGTATAGTAACTGTATAATTTGCATTTGATGGGACAGCTCAGATTCTCTCATGTGGTCACAGGGAGTTTACAGATAAGAAGTGATACGTTATTCCAGAACTCTCCTCAGAGTCCAGTCTCTTGCATTCCCAGATGACTGTTTTTACAAAAGTGTCCACAAGAACATCGAACCTCAGACCTTGCTCACCAGAGTCACAAAAAACCTACAATGTACCACAGAGAAGAACAAGACAAGCAAAGATATCACTGATTTCTTGGCTACTTCAGGGAGGAATCTGTTAGGTAAAATGTACTCAGATGATCTGAGTAAATGGACAGTGTCTTGCACTGCAGACGGTAAACCCCAGCAGTCCATGCCAGTTTGACTTGGAGGAGAAGTCCCTCCAATCCCAAAGGTAGTGTTTGGTTAATCCTGAAGCGTGTGAGAGAGGCTGAGAGTTATCTCAGTACTGTCAGGAACATCAGTGCAGCCAGTCAGTCTCCCACCTGAATTTGGCCACTTTCCAGAGCTTCAGAGGCTGGCAACTCCCTCCCGGCAAATCATACCTAACTAATGTATTTGAACAGGTGGTTTTCCCCTTCAAAATAAGTTGTGGTTTTTGTTTTTGTTTTTTTAAATGTTTCTATCCTAGGTCATGTTAGAGCTTGTACCCTCTGCTGCAGGACGGGTATAACAGTTGACAGTTGAGGCTCTGGACCTCTGAAAACCCGTAGGCCAGGGTGCTCAATCCCTGGCTTGAGGGTCAGATCTGCCCCTGCTTCCCCTTCTTCCCCCCAGTACTGGGCCACAGGGCTCCCCAGAGATCTGTGGGGAGTTCTGTGAGCTAGCATGGGTGCTTAGAGCAGTGTGAGGCCTAATCCTGGTGCACAGGGACTGGGCAGGTGTGCAGCCAGGCAGGCATGGCCCCAGGGCCCAATCAGGCCTATGGACCAGCTCTGTGCCATTCATCTGGCCTGTAAGGCCAAAACTGAACATCACTTTGTAGGCCATCTTGAGGGCCCATAAGCCCCAGAATATTCCAGTGAGTACTTTTAGGAGTAAGTGGTTGTCTGCCCTAGAGGGCAATCCCAGAACATATCACCTCTTTACACCACCTCCAAAAACACTGAGGGAAGATGGAAGCATTCAGTAATCCAGCATGTGTGACATTTGATAAATGCTGAAAAGTTAAAACATTGATCAGGTTACATACTGTCCACAGAATGCATTTCCATTGGCTTTTCTCTGATGGAAAGATTGCAGATTTCTCTGCAGTTATCAGTAGATTCAATCTTAAATTAATTATTTATTTGGAAACTTAGGAAATGCTACGGAGCATCATGGAACGTTAGCTTGATTATCTCAGTGTGTGCTCCTGATGTTTCCGTTTTAAACATGTCACAAATCTCAGTTTTTCTTTCAAAATGTTTAAAGTTTTCCTACGTTGTAAAAAACTATTGTAGACTGTGATAGGTTCAAGGAAAGGGTGGTTTTCTCATTAAGAGCTACAGTGTAAAGAATTGTGCCATTTATACCTGTCTTCTCAGAAGTATTTTCTTAAAATACTATCTTTAGACTGTTGCTATGTTTTATGCATTTAGTCATTGTTTATACTAAACAGAATATTACAGGGAAGTGTTGAAGTTAGATTTCAATGACACTTTATGCAAAACTTATGCTCCAGCTTGCTGACTGCTCGTCGCACACCAGTCAGTGTTGTAATAGTAATTTTTTAAGCTTGTGCCAATGTTATGATTTAAATGAGTAAGAATTAGCTATTTTTCTTTATAAAACTGTCCACAGCAAAATTTTTAAAATATTGAAAGTGTGCGAGTAATTCCTTTGACTTGTTTCATGTAGGAAAGAAGGGAAAGGGAACGGAAGCTCAGCAAAGAAATGGCAGAAAAGGCAGTGAAGGATCTGGAGAAAATTCAGTTACAAGAAAAAGCTAAAGAAAAATATAAAGAATGGTTAAAGAAGAAAAGATCAGAAGATTCTGACAAGAAGAAAAAAGAGAAGGTATTGTTCTTTTTAATACTCACTAGCCAGCCCTCTCTCTGCTGTACATGAAGCAGCCCCTCTTGATTAAATGGAAAGTACGTATTATGTATTTAGTATTATAGAAACACAGTAAGCTCTTCAAGTAAAGCAGGAACTGTTGTACCGTATTTCTGTTAAAGTAGCTAAATTCCTGCTTTACCTTCAGAACTCATTTCGGCCTTAACTATGGAATCGTAGTGCTTCCTTTTGGACATGCATCATTTTATTTATTTATATTTACTTATTTATTTTAAGAATGTAGGAGTAAATTTTGTTAATTAGTTTGAATGGATAAAAAGAGTTCTTTAGAAACTTTGTAGCTTGTATCAAATCCATTTTCTGATTTGAATGATCCTGGTAGCACAGGCCCTTCAGACATGCCACGTAATGAAAACTTAATGAAATCTTGAGCATTGGCTGTTTTTTGTATGCATTTTTAAGGAATTATGCTTATTTTTGCCATTATTCTTTGTAGCAACATATTTTTTTACTGAGGCCTGAGAGAGAATATTTTCCATAGAACTGCTAGGAAAATAATGAAGATAAGTTCTCTTTAGAAATGGCCACCTTCACTCTTCCTATTGAAACTTTGGACTATTTTAGTTTATTTTTTGGTGATAAGTAAAACTGGGGTCTGACCTTTTTCTTTTTTAAATAAGTGAAAGCAAGAGTTCATAGCAACAGAGAGAAAAAGTTGAAAAATAGTACATACTTAAAGCACATTTGAGCAGAGATATTTTGTTTATAACACACACATCCTCTTCCAACAGGATAATCTCTTCAAAAAAAATTTATATCAGCCTCTGCTACAAATCTAGACTCTTAAGAATGTGTAGTGAGCTGTTCAAAAGTACATGGAACATTTGGCCTAGGGCAGGGGTCTCAAATAGACCCTTGTGCCCCGGCTGGATCTCAGTTGCAGTGGGCCAAGCAGGCCAGATCCTGCTGAGGGCATGAGAAGTGCTGGCAGCAGCAGTAGTGTCAGCTCTGACCTGGAGCATGTAGTGGCAGCAGCACCAACTTGGGGCAGGCAGCAGCAGCTTCAGCCTCCACTGCTTGCCCCATGCTGCAACAGCAGCTCTAGCACAGGGCATGTGCCAAGAGCTGGCAGCTGGGGAGGTAGGGCAACAGAAGTGGTAGACGGAAGTTGTCCAGTGAGCCAGAAAAATACATGGACTGTGGAGCTGACCCAACACCCCCAGCCTAAGGGAAAAGAGCTGAAGTTGGCTTTAGACTATTTCTGTGCCTTCCCAGTTCTAGGTTGCTCGGTAGGTTAGCAAGGCCTTCAGAGTAATACAATGCAGTTGGCGTTATCATATTAGCTTCCTAGTCTGTCCAGCGTGTTATAGATCTGTCCATGGAGGCAAAGACCCTTATGGCAAAGCGCCTCTGGCTGCTTTCAGGATACCTTTTAAACTGAGAGCTCTGACTAGTTTGTTGTTTTTGGTTGTTTTCAACAGTGCTTTTGTTTATAATCCTTGCTTTTATGTTGCTGAGTCCTTTTAGGTGGTATATATTGATTGAGGGTGGGGGTGAAGATCATAGTATTGAAATCTTGATGAATAATTTAAAGAATTTTAGGAAAAGGGCATGACCATTTTCATTGAGGAAGAGGAATATAGCCAGTTATCCAGGAAGCCCTTTGCAGTACATGTATGTTTACTGTCTTCAATGTTTGGTAGAAGGTTCTTCCTTCAAGGCATCTTGTTTTTAATTATTTTTAGGAAAAGGAAAGGCAACAGGAAGCTGAATTGCAAGAGAAAAAAGAGAAATCAGAGAGGCTTTTCAAGGAATGGCTACAAACTGCTAGAAATAAACCGCGCCCAATTTTAAACAGTTATGGCTATGCCAGTGGGAAATGTACAGGTTTGTATTTGTATATTAGATGCATACACCCATGTCTGTGTTAAATGTATAGAAGGCATTTTTTTGAAGAGGTGTAGGAGTCGGACCAAAGCTCCTTACAAAAAAACCAAAAAAACCCTGGTGGGTCATTCTCTCTTCAGGTTCGGTCTTCTCTTTCCATGAGGGGCAATATCTAAATTTGATGTCATTGTTCTTCCCTATCTTTAATGTTATTGTTCTTCTCTGTCTTCTCAGCACTGTTCCTTTTAACCTCTTCCTTCTCCAAGGGGAGCATGAGAAAAATGTCCTAGTTGCAAATGCGTAATTGCAATATGATGTTCAGTGAGTCTCCCTGTTCATTTTTGTTCTATCCTCCCACCTCACAGAAACCAGAGAACTGAAAAAAATTGTTGTAATTTGTTTGTTTTTTCTATACATATGCTGCTCTTCCCAGTAAAGACTTAGTGCAACTTACAGTAAGTGAACAGAATAACTTGCACACGGGTGGGCAAAATATGGCATGTGGGCCAGATTCGGCCCACCAGCTGATTGTATTGACCCATGAGTTGGGGGGCCGCAAAGTCATAGGATCCAGCCCATAGGGAACTGGTGGCTCCAGCAGCTGCATCGTGCTAGATGGATGGGCACGTCCCACCTCTGTCCACAGCTTACACCAGCTCCCACCTCACATGCTGGAAGCAGCACTAGGTGGACACTGATATCTGCTGTAGACGCTAGCTGCAGGTTCCTGCCTGGGGTCAGAACAACTGCCTGGGACTGCAGCTGATGCAGCAGCATCACATGTGGATGTGGGAGAATGCCCCGATCCTCAGCAAGAATCAGATACCTGTGGCTGCAGCTCATGTCAGCACCCATCCGGCACTGCTTCCAGCGGACAGGCCGAGAGCTGGTGTAAGCTGTGGGGCTAAATGTGGGAGGGTGAGGGGGAAGAGGGAGACAGAGACAGTCCTGCCCGTGATGAGCAGTAGTGGCCAGTGCTGGATGTCAGGCAAAAGCAGTACCTGGCAGCAGGCACACTCGCTGCTTCCATGGCCCTTTTGCTGCCCTGAAGCTGAAGCTGCCACCCATGCGCACGCCAGCTTCTCCTCCCCCTGTCCCCCAACCCAATCCCTCATAGGGAGGTTTGGTGAGCTGTTGCAAGGCAGGGGTGGGGGTGCTGACCCAGCCCGCAACAGATCCCCGAAACTCCCTATGTGGCGTGGGGGCCCAAATAATTGTCCACCCCTGAACTAGAATGACTCTGTCCTGTTTTCTTCAGGTCATCCCCATTTTAAACACCTGTTCCCAGTATCCTATTAGTTTGGTCATATGAATGCTTTTGTCCTGTTTATTTTGACCAAAAACAGTGGCAGTAATGCTTTCTAGCCAGGGAGCACTCCATAAACTCACCCATCCTCACC